CACTAATGAGCCAAATTTCAGTGCTTGTTACAGGTTGTAATTGGATGATTATGAAGGTTTATTGTTAGTACACTTATCAATACGGACTGTAAAAATATGGAAAAATATGGATAGTGAAGCTCTCACCGCAGGGAACAAGATGCATATTTTTATTTATTTTTTGCCCTTCTCCTGGCCTCTCAATATTTTTGTGTATCAATAATTTAATTTTCTGCCCAGAAAATATTATATTTTGTGTAGTGTTCTATGGTATATAGCTTTCTTTGGTTTGATCTTACAAGATACTCAAATGGAAAGAGATAAAGCAAAAGAAACAGATGAGATATGCAAAACCTCACAGTGAAAGTACATTCACTTTATGTCTAATTCCATCTGGATAAAAATAGATGATCCTAAGTTTACTCTGAGAATCAGAGCTAAGTCTGATTATTTGAGATTATCACTCATGTAATTCAATATGGTAAACTGGACATTGAGGGACAAGATAACTTATGATTGATGATCAATGGATCAAAAGATGATTAATTGTTAGAGCATCAGATAACTTGGTATCAACATGCCTTTTGTGCTTTGAGCTTTTGAAAGCGGCGGCCCGCTGCTGATTTGCTAGTCTAATTTATATGTGATACAATGAGATTCAGTTAGGTTAGATATCTTGATAAATTAGGTCTAAGTTTGAATAATTAAGTTTTGAATATGTTTGTAATTGAACTTGACTTAATTGTTTGATTATAAGATAATACAGTCTGATGTGCTACAAACTGGAGTTTGTATTCTAACAGCAGGGCCATTGAGATTTTGGGAGAGAACCCAACCGATTCTATGAATCTCAATTTCAATTTGTTCAAGGACAAGCTGCATAACATCATTTAAGAGGCAGCATCATCTGGCAAAATCAAGGAAGGATAGGTTAAATTTTTGGTGGGCATGAGTCGGTTGCCAACTTGCTGTGTGACAGGCCAAGAGAACAAAACACCATCTAGATATAGTTCTCCTAATCTTGGTAACCCAGTAGTCACAGATAAACCCATCCACAAGCGTATAAGAGTCCTCGTCATTGTGTTGCGGGGGAGACGCAGTGCTCAAAACATGAGAGGGACAATGGCTCACCGGTGCAATGGCTTTGTCCCAAGAGTGGCCAAGTAAACATAGATGGTAGAATTGGTGGGATTAGGCAGTATAGTGGGACCTTGGCGTATTGCTTCTTCAATGATCAATTTGACAATTTCAACCGGAGGCTGCCAATTGGCAAGAGTAGATGTGGTGTCCATTGAATTTGTAAGGTTGTTGAGGTCAATGCTGGAACAGCTCCACTCAAAAGTGTGGGAGTGGAGCGGGAAGGGAGCGCTTTTTTGGGCGCTCCACGCACCGCACATTTGCGCGGTGCCCTCCTCACCACTCCCTGGGCCTGAGATATCATAGAGCGGAGCAATCGCTCCGCTCACCGCCCCGGCCCTGCACACCCCGCTCTATAGAGCAGAGCAGAAACCCTGTACCCAGGGGCAAGGGTACATATCGTACAGGTGGCTTCCCTCCTCGATTCAGCCCATCCCATTTATCCCTTCAAACACCAACACCAAAGATTTGTGGCGCTTCGACTGGTTTGGCAACATGGACAACCCCTGGCAAGACTTTTGACTCTGGCTAGCTTGTGGTCCGTCTTTTCTTTGGACTTTGTGGTTTAATGTTTTGATTAGGTTAGTCAACCTTGCTTGGATAGACTCATATCAGAAAAGTAAAGATACTAACACTTATCTTGCATTTCCTCGTATACTTCCTTTACTTATTTTTTGGCCCCCTTCCTACACTTCCTTTCCTCCCTCTCTCATCTTCTTGATTGATATAATATACAATTCAATGGTACCCTCTACAAAAACTTCAAATAGTTCATCGCTCCTGGTTCCCAGTCAAGGTTCAAGTCAACAACTTCGTCCACCCAGCCCTGTCTGGACTCAGCCTGGTTTCGTCATACCTCCAAAAGACTCACGTCAACAAGCATCTCTTTTGATTCATGAGGATGACTCCAAGGAAGAATCAACTCCTGGGCCTCTTGCTAATTGATTGGCTTCACTTTGTCCCCCAGCTTCTTCCAACAAAAACAAGAAGAAAGCAGGTCCAGCACCAGTTCAACAAAAAGTGAAACCTACCTCGCCAACAAAGGTGAGTCTTATCATCTTAATTGACTTCTCTAAATACGTAATACTGATCTCCAATGTCTTATGTCTTGGTTCGCTTTTCTAGGCACATTCCTCAATTAGCAAACGTGCCAGATCACCATCTGGCAGTGTAGGCACAACCTCACCCCAATCATCCAAGAAAACCAAAACGGACAAAACAGATGTAAGTCTCTCACAAGACTGTTTGAATGTATCTTTAGATTATTGATACAAGAATCTTTCAATTTATTGAGGCCTTCAAAGTACCAGAACAGGCGGACCTCAATCAAGATTCAGATATCAAACTTGTTGGCAAGACTGAACCTGGATACAATGCAGTTCAATCGGCCCGCG